ATAACATACCCACCATACCCGAGGGAACACTAGGTAACATAACATACCCACCATACCCGAGGGAACACTAGGTAACATAACATACTCACCATACCCGAGGAATCTCTAGGAAAATTAACAAACCCACCATACCCGAAGAATCACTAGGTAACATAACATACCCACCATACCCAAGGAATCTCTAGGTAACATAACATACCCACCATACCCGAGGGAACACTAGGTAACATAACATACCCACCATACCCGAGGGAACACTAGGTAACATAACATACCCACCATACCCGAGGAAACACTAGGTAACATAACATACCCACCATACCCGAGGAATCTCTAGGAAAATTAACAAACCCACCATACCCGAGGAATCTCTAGGAAAATTAACAAACCCACCATACCCGAAGAATCACTAGGTAACATAACATACCCACCATACCCCAGGAATCACTAAGTAACATAACATACCCACCATACCTCAGGAATCACTAAGTAACATAACATACCCACCATACCCCAGGAATCACTAAGTAACATAACATACCCACCATACCCAAGGAATCTCTAGGTAACATAACATACCCACCATACCCGAGGAATCTCAAGGAAACTTAACAAACCCACCATACCCGAAGAATCACTAGGTAACATAACATACCCACCATACCCCAGGAATCACTAAGTAACATAACATACCCACCATACCTCAGGAATCACTAAGTAACATAACATACCCACCATACCCAAGGAATCTCTAGGTAACATAACATACCCACCATACCCCAGGAATCACTAAGTAACATAACATACCCACCATACCCCAGGAATCACTAGGTAACATAACATACCCACCATACCCGAGGAATCTCTAGGAAACTTAACAAACCCACCATACCCGAAGAATCACTAGGGGTATGGTGGGTATGTTATATTACCTAGAGATTCCTTGGGTATGGTGGGTATGTTATGTAACATACCCACCATAAATAAGAAAACACTAGGTAACATAACATACCCACCATACCCAAGGAATCGCTAGGTAGCATAACATACCACCATAACCAAGGAAACACTAGGTAACATAACATACTCACCATACTCGAGGAAACACTAGGTAACTTAACATACCCACCATAACCAAGGAAACACTAGGTAACATAACATACCTACCATACCCGAGGAAACACTAGGTAACATAACATACTCACCATACTCGAGGAAACACTAGGTAACTTAACATCCCCACCATAACCAAGGAAACACTAGGTAACATAAAAAACCCACCATACCCGAGGAAACACTAGGTAACATAACATACTCACCATACTCGAGGAAATACTAGGTAACTTAACATACCCACCATAACCAAGGAAATACCTGGTAACATAAAATACCCTCGCCGCAGCAAACCTGCAGACTAAGCGAATTTCAACTTGCCTGATTACATTTTTACTAAAATATTTCCATAAATAAGACATATTTATTCCCAATTTAAATAACATTAGATTTAACCAGTGCTTAGGTTTGCTGCTACGGGGAAGGTAAAAAGTGTTTTTTGACCATTTGTCAATAGTATAGGATGAAATAAATAAATTTGCCAAATTTTATCAACGTATATCCATTAACAAGTAAACTACAACAGTTTTTATTTTCTCCATAAGAATAACATGGGAATTTTAAATTACACTTTTTTTAATTTTCTCCGTGACCGTTAGGCATAAAACAGCGCTTCAATATACTAAATTATTTCTTTTTTTAAGCTCTACAAAATGGTTGAGAAATAAATTGCAAAAATTTTCATTTTTAGGGTTAAAAATGGGAAAAACCTATTTTTACCCCATAAAACCCCCCATAAACCCCTGTTCCCATGGTCCGATTATGCTGGTTCGCGAACTCGTTCGAATAAATGTAGGTTTACACGTTTGTACCAAATTTCATCAAAATCGGGCCATTTTTGCTCGAGTCATCGCGCTAACGGACACATATATAAATATATATATATATATATATGAATTTGAACGGATGGTGTTTTTGGTCTCTGGGGACCTCAAAACGAAAAAGTAAATCGGTCCCGGGTCTAGGTCTTACCATGAGACCTACGGTAATAGCTTATTCCCTATATGGGCAATTCGCTAAAACCCACCATACATAAAGAAATTCTAGGCACACAATAAACCAACCAGACCTGAGAAAACCCTATGCAACATAGCAAATCAACCAGACATGAGGAAAGTTTAGATAACATAACAAACCAATCATATCCAATGTAACGCTAGGCAACATATACCAATCAGATCCGAAGAAACACTATATAACATACCTTTCCTGGAGCTGTATGGTTATAAGGGAAAAGGAAGGATTCAGGAAATCTATCAGACCAGAGGGAGCGATATGTAACATAATAATCCATTGACAAAACATGAGGGACCAGGAGACAATATTTCAGTTATCTTGTGCGGCTTAAAGAATTCTATCAGAGCTTTTAAGGAACACCCGACTCGCTCACGGACACTCACCACCTAATTGCCCAAAAGCCCCGATACCCTTCAATAAAAATATAACACCTGTTGTATAATGCCTCAAAATTGCAATTCATATGTTAGATGTACATTAGAGAAATACCAACTAAAATAATAAAATTAAATCAATAATTTAAAATGATTATCATACAGGGTTAGTAAAAAGTGTGGAGACCCCCTGTTATTTTTTTAACGGCCCATACTAGAAAAACTAAACTCGGCACACCATTATGGCATGTTATGAAGTACTTTTTGGGCATAACCGCCACTTGGTGTTCATCCCCAAAATGGGGGACTTTGGGGGAAACTAAAAAATTTCAAATACAAAGACCCATCGAGTGACCCCTCATTTTGAAGTTCCTGGTAAAAGAAAACCAACAACGCAAACTAGAGGTCTCTATCTCATTTCAGTACAAAATGGCAGCCGATTGAAATTCTCATAAGTTCCCAAACCCAAAATGGGGGATTTTGGGGGAAACTCAAAACTTTTAATGATAAGCCCCGTTGAGTGACCCCTCATTTTGAAGGTCATAATAAAAGAAAACTAACAACACAAATTATAGGTATCTATCTTAACACAGTAAAATATGGCAGCCAATTCAATATAAAATTGCAAGTTATTTCCGATTTTAAAGATTTAAATCACCTTCCATTTTTTACTGGATTGAGATAGAAACCTCTAGTTTGCGTTGTTAGTTTTCCTTTACCAGGACCTTCAAAATGAGGGGTCACTTGATGGGGCTTATCATTAAAAACTTTTGAGTTTCCCCCAAAATCCCCCATTTTGGGTTTGGTAAGCAAGTGGCTATTAGGCTTTAAAAGTACTTCATAACATGCCAAAAAGGTGTGTAGAGTTTAGTTTTCCTAGTGTGAGCCGCTACAAAATTTACAGGGGGTCTCCAGACTTGGAAAGCTGCAAGTTAAATTCAACTTCTGAGAATTTCAATTGGCTGCCATTTTTTACTGGATTGAGATAAAGACCTCTAGTTTGCGTTTTTGGTTTTCTTTTACCAGGACCTTCAAAATGAGGGGTCACTCGATAGGTCTTTGTATTTGAAATTTTTGAGTTTCCCCCAAAATCCCCCATTTTGGGGATGTACACCAAGTGACGGTTATGCCCAAAAAGTACTTCATAACATGCCATAAAGGTGTGCCGAGTTTAGTTTTTCTAGTATGGGCCGTTAAAAAAATAACAGGGGGTCTCCACACTTTTTACTAACCCTGTATTTCTGTGATTTACGTGGCAGGTGAATGATCAGTTGTAATCCCTTGCGTCTGTGACTGAGAGGGCTACGTGTGTGAGTAGGGTCGGCCCTTCGGTCAGCCGTATGGCCGTAGTCGCTAAGCAAACAGACTATACAAATAGGTACAGTGGCAAACCGAATGTAATGTAGTTTGATTATTTTGTTTGAAAAAGAATTCTGATTCATAATGTTACTTTGTAGTAACTAGTAACATTGTCATGATAACTAGACTAATAACAAACAACCAATAATAACCACGATAGCTAGATAGGCCTAATTCAAGACCAAACCCGTAAACTAGCTAATAATCAATTTCCAATCAAAGTAACGTGTCGTTCAGCGTCGACGAATTAGAACGAAGAAAGTAATTACACAAGGACTTTTTATCGACGAAATACAAATTTAATTAGGTGAGAAAAGATAAAGAGGAACGAAGAAGTGGCAATGGGCTGGGGAGAGGCGGAGCTTGCTACAGATCGTCTCCAGGCCCAATTGACATCAAAGTGTGGCTGGGAATCGACCGAAGAAACAGTGATGATTTATATGTGAGGGGAAGCTACAAACAATGCGACATGCCAACATGTCTTCCAAACGGCGCCGCTTCGGTCTTTGACTACGCTGCAACATCTTGAGTCTTGTGACCAGGTGCTCGTCTTCGACTGCACGTGAACTCTGCACTTTGGTCGTAGTAAGACCTTCCTTCATTTCATTCATAGTTTGCGAAGCAACTCATCAGTTTTCTAAAAATACTGAAGATAAGATTTTTATTGGGTCACTTTGGAAGACGATTACATTATTTATAGATTAGAATGAAAAGTAAATATTTCGTTAGTTGTATGCAAACTGAAGATGGCAAATCATTGCCATGATGAGTCAAAAATGTAAATACTTAATTTATAAAAACAATTCATTTTTGTGATTTATCAAAACAAATGTCGCTTTTGATTATGAGATAATACCAACGATATAAACAACTCACAACGATGTAGTTCTTTACTTCGTTGGATAATACGCCTGCTTTCACTCTTCTGCTAACTGTACGCAAGGCAGTCCAATATTCATTTACATGCGATGTCAGGGATGCTAGAATGTGCTAGTTTCCCATAGCGATCAAAGATTTTGGTCAATGACGATCGGAGAAGTCTTCAAATGCAATGGCCGTTTTGCTTTGAACCGACGGCTGTTACAGTATAGGATTCCTCTTCAGCCTTCTTGGAACTGACAACGACGCTTGTTACAGGCAGTCCTGGAGGCAGTGGAAGGGACAGTGGAGATGGCGAAGACGACGAGACTCAAACAAACAACACACCAACTTCCAACAAGACCCGTCGAAGACGAACAGCATTCACCAGCGAACAGCTCCTGGAACTTGAGAGAGAGTTTGTCGCCAAGAAGTACCTGAGTTTGACTGAGAGGTCACAAATTGCAAACGCATTAAATCTCAGCGAGGTTCAGGTACGTTCCTTTTGGAGGCTGAATATAGTCTTTTACCTCAAGTGCTAGTTTGTTATAGTCTCGTACTCAAAGATATAGAGCGTAATTATAAACCTCTACAGCTTTTTGCACCCTTGTAATCTTCTGCATCTCAGATATCTTGGTGTATTTTATATTTTTGTATTGTTACTTTTTTTACATAGCAATATTTGGTATCTTGGCGTTGCTAAAGATTAATAATAAACCACCAACTTATACCTCTTAAACCACTAGAACACCACTTAATATCCTATTTTACCACTTGATAATATGTTTTGTACTTCTTACTTAATTTGTATGTATCTTGTACCTTGAACTTTCAGTAGTTTTCCTCATATTATAATTTATATATATATTTTTAAATTTGTTCTCATGTTATGTTCACTTTGTACAAATTCAAATGTTTTACTATTAACAAAAGTCACATCCATCAAAACATACAAGTTGTGTTATAAAATCTTGTATAAAATAATATTGAATTATTAAGGCAATTACGGAAGTAAATAAAATAATGTAGTTAAAAAAATTATAAGAATAAACGATGTATTAATATAATTTTTTGTATGAGGATTTACCTTATAGTTTTCTTTATATCACTGATTCGGATTCATTTTTTCATTTAATAATCTGTTTTTTTGCAATTTAAAAAACTATTCTTAACCTGTAAGTTACCGTATCATATCTTTACAGGTTAAAATCTGGTTTCAAAACAGAAGAGCGAAATGGAAGAGGGTCAAAGCTGGTGGGATGTCTTCTTCTTCGGGTGCAGGAGGCCATAGATCAAGTTCCTCCAACAACAACAACGGTTGCAAGATAGTTGTTCCCATTCCTGTCCATGTGAACCGTTTTGCCGTCAGATCTCAGCATCAACAGTTGGAGAAGTGTGGGCCCGGGCTGGCTCATTTGCACGGACTCAAAATCCAGCCCCCAGGCCCCGGTTGCTAGCCGTGGCGTCCCTCGGGGTTCAGTGATAGTCACTCTCTGTTTCAACCTTAGGTTCTGCTGGAAATATCTATCCTGGGGTTTATTACGTAAACGGATGAGAGTTTAATGACAATTTTCACTATGTCTAAACTAATGTTATTGAAATTGGACACATTGTTGTGTTGTTTGAATCTTTGTTACCATCTTTAAAGTTGGTATAATTGGTGATCGACAATTTCATATAAGTTACCTGAGTGGACTGGAAGGTTAATATATAAAATTTACCACAAATTATACTATTTATTTTCTTCTTACTAGAAAAAGTGCTTTGTGATAAGCATCGCGTACAATACAAAAATGTTTTTACATTCTTCAATAATCTGGTACTGTACACGATTTCCAATTTTATGTGATAATTTCAAATTGGCCTAGTGAAGATATGGGGTTTGTCACTCACCCGTTTATAAAAAATACCCAGATCATTTATACATAGTTTGTCTTTATATTATCTGATTACGGCCATATCCATAATGTGAATGTGCAATATGCTTATTTTACTTTAAGTTCGTTAGGTGTTATGAATCTTTACCCAAAATTAGCTTTTATTTATTATTAAGTGAAAACGGGTTGAAAAAAATACTCAGGTTTGAAATAGTGGATTAAGTGTTACTAACTAAATAGTTTACGCCCATATTAAAATTCCGATTTAAAAGTTTTTTTAATATTCTGTCAAATTTACACAAGTTGATTACAAAATAATATCAGCCTCAACCATAAGTACTCGTATATTTTTTTACGTTAAGAGTTTTTTTTATTATTTAACAAAGTTTGATACGTTTTCTATAACCCCCACTTGATTTTTTTATTGGATCTAGTCGAAGTGTATGTGTGAATTTTATAAGCCAAATATTATTCCAAATAGAATTCCCAAAACGTATCTCACATTTTCAATTCAAAGTTTTATTTAGAATATTTGATTCAATATCAATATGGTTTATACCTGACGAATTAATCTAATGGCTTGAATTTAAGTGATAGAAGCTGATCTTTTAGATTTTAAATTCAAGTGCTAATTTTATACCAAATTTTTCTGACCATAAAACGATTTATTCTTATTTAGACTATCTTTGCCATTAATTTACGAAGTAAGCGTCTGTCACCGTTATTTAGAAGTTCGTGCTTTTTAACATATTAAGTAATTTAATTTCGATACTTAACGTTGTTTTCCTAATATGAATTATTGTATGTAATGAACAATTTTTTTTAGTTCGTATTAAATTCAGTACGTACCAAAGTGACAAAATGATTTTGTAATCCATAAAGTAAAGAGAGGTGAATGTTTCATAGATATTTTAAAAGTATGTTTTGATTGTTAATGAAAATCAAATATTAGCCAGTTTTGTGTTAGTTAAAATATAAGAATTCTTTGTTCCAGTTTTATCTTGACAACCATAAACACATTGTTGCAAGATCGAATTTTGCTATTATAAAGTCTGACTGTTCAATGCAATCCCTAATTTCAGGTTGTCCAAACCCGTTTTGGCGGGCTTTAGTAATTTACTTGTACAGTATATATATAAAAATTGTTGGAATAGAAATAAGAATAGAATATTAGTAAGAATGTTTTGTTTTGTATATAGTTATGATCACAGAAGTAAATGTTTTATAATATGTTTATTTGAAGATTATATCTTAAGTAGGAATTAAACTATATCGTTCTTTGCTTTAGTTTATTAGATATTAATAAATTGTTCTAATAAAATATTTACTCGTATTTAATGATTTTATCCTGAATCTCAATTTAAATTCAACTGAAGTTGAATGTTCCTTAATACAAACGTTCTCTGAAACTATTCAGTTAAGAAAGTAACATAGTATACAAGTATACAAAACTTCTAAGAGTGTCGTAAAGACTAATTAATTACGTGAGTTGCTTACACTACTTTACCTACGATCGTTTCGTGTGTTAATATAGTTTTTAAAACATTATAACCTATACTCTTTCTGCATAGGTTCTGTATAGGTCTATTTTTTCAGGGAATATGTAGGATATTGATTGCAACATTGTAACTCTAAGTACTGTTCCAGTTAAGATTACCCAAATATAAAAAAATGATTACCAGATTATGAAAAATTGGCGAAAATACTGACGTTCCGGACACCTTGCACTAATCCGTCTCCGGGACAAGTTACAATAATAACCTCTGTGAAATTGATCACGAAGCACATTATTCTTTGGGAGACTCACTCCACGAGTGTTTGTCACTTGTTTCACTTAGCGGAGACTTATGGGGAAGCCTGGGATGCATTAGTGGTCTGTATCATATCCGTCCCCTAAGAGCGTGCGCTATACCACGGTCAATTATCCAACATGGGGCACCCCCGGCTGGCGGCTGGGGCGGCTGGGGGTGAGGGTCTTGATGACAATGACACCAACGATACAAAGTAGCGATCCGTCAACGGACCCCTGGGGTGGACTCGGAGTTGACTACAAAACACAAACAACCGAATACTAATCAAATATAAACGATTTAGCTCCTACACAAATTAGTATTTTTCAAAGGAAAGGAAGGAGTCAGGACAGCGTTTTCATCCTGGAGTTGTTTGATAGAACTAAAATGTCCGTCACCCGTCAATATTAGAATCCCGTACCTGTTCCTTTGAATATTACTTGCCTCGTAAAACAATATTTAGGAATATATACTAATTAAATTATACATGAAACCTTTAGTAGGCTGCTTATACTAAATCTATTCTATATAAAATTAGCTAGAGGAAAATACATTTGAGTGGTAAAGAATTATTTCAATATCATAAGAAAACAGCACTGAAGGAGTAACAAGTCCCTATCATGACTACGTCACTGTGCTGTTGTCGACTATAGAACAGGACTACAAAGAAGGTTTGACATCCAAGACTAAAATTATTGTTGTACGGTAAACAGGGTGGCTGAAAAGTAACTTGCACCCCCCCTTAACTTTTCAACCATTTGAGATATTTGAAATCGGTTTACGGCAACTTTCTTGGATATGAAGGGCTACAATAATAATGGTCAATTTTGAAAATTTTGCCCTTAGGGGTAGCGGGGGTAGGGGGCAGCTCAAAATTTTCAAATGACAAGTACTGTAAAGTCAAGTTTGGTATCATTTTACAGGTCTTGACGAAACATAAACATTGACATAAAGAAAACCAAAATCGGCCCACTAATAACAAAATGGCGCCCTAAAACGTTTCAAATCCAAATAACTATGAGGGTGGCAACAAAATTAACTTGCACCCTCTTTAGCTTTTTAACTATTTGAGATATTTGAAATCGGTTTGCGGCAACTTGTTTGGAAAAGAAGGGCTACAATAATTATGGTCAGTTTTGAAAATTTTGCCCTTAGGGGTAGCGGGGGTATTGGGTAGCTCAAAATTTTCAAATAGCAAGTATAGTCGAGTATGGTATCATTTTACGGGTCATGACAAAACATAACAAATAACATAAAGAAAATTTAAATCGGACCATTAATAACAAAATGGCAGCTAAAGATTATTGAGGCAATGGTTATTTAAAGTAATTTTGAACTGCCATTTTGTTATTAATGGTCCGATTTCTATTTTCTTTATGTTAATTGTTATGTTTCGTCACGACCTACAAACTGATACCAAACTCGACTATATACCAAACCGATTTCAAATATCTCAAATAGTTAAAAAGCTAAAAAGGGTGCAAGTTATTTTTTTTTGCCACCCTCATAGAGCATTGACTATTATATAGTCTGACTGTCATCAACTAAAAATTGGAATTTGACTACTTTTACCAGCAGAAATACCAACCCCCTCTGAGATCTACCATACTACTCCTAACTTCTTCTATGGTTCTATGATAGATAGGTCGTGTAACTCAATAGCCAATTTAAAAATTATTCTTGGTATATTATACCTACTTAAATGCCTTTTCAACTTGCTCAGCTCGCTAATTTATCTACAGTATACACTACTTTACAATTACGATGCTGTGAGTTTATGTTTTGCTACCAGGACTCTCCCAGAACCAGTGGAGTCTCGGAGTTGCACAGATGGAGTAGAATGGCACAACCACGCCCTCTGGAGCAAACCTTTGTATTCCCCCCTCTACACATAAATAACGTATCCCTGTGCTGCGGTTATTAACAATTATTATTATTAATGTGGTGCGATTATGTTATTGTTGTCGCTAATGTGCTGAGCCGGCGGACCCGCTTGCAAGCCTTGGAGCTGGCCAAGCAGAGGCTAGGCGTGAAGCGTTGACTACGTGATTGATCTTAGAACTAGTTTTGTCTTTGAGACTTAAAACAGTCCATCGTCCATCATTTGTTTATTTATTTATTTTACCTTCCAACGGTCAAGAACCAATTTACAATATGGTATACAAGATGACTTAATCTAACTTAAACATTACATACAAAAGTGATTTTTCCAAAATGACATGCTGTAAAGTGAAAGCAATTTGAGCAGTAAAAATCAAAATAAATTAGGTAATTTACATCAGGTACAAGCATACTAAATAGAAATACACAAATCAGAACTTTAAATAACAACCAATGAACATGAACATCAAACAAGAACAGTAAGTAAAAATATAAATGAACGACAAACAATATACATACGTGAGTTTCAACAATAACAATAAATATATTAGATTTAACAATAACAATAAATATTTGAGTTTCAAAAAACAACAAAGATAACAAGATTTGTAAAAAGGGAGAAAAATACATTGGAGTGAAACAAAGATTTAATAGTGATTTTGGGTGGTAACTATGATGAGCGGTGGAAGTCAGTCAGTACCCTCTTCCGGATTGTTTTTTGGCTGTCTGTGAAGATGTCAAAACTGGCACAGAAGGCATTCCCATTTCGAAGCATCCTTACTACTTGTTTAGTACTTGTTTATTGTTTTGTTTTGTTGTTGTTTGTTGTTGTTGTTTAGTTTGTACTTGTTTAGCAGACCAACAAATTACGATGAACAATCCTAATAATTTATATGTAACATTGATTGATTTCTTGTTTAGATTTTGATTGTTTTACTTAAAATCCCAACCAAAGTTGATAGTATTAACAATGTATTGGTGTTCATTGATGCAACCCCAAGAAACCCAGGAGTCTGCTTTACATTTTGAAAAATCCCCAATGGTAATTGATACATAAAAGGCTAGATAGTATTTAATATTGTGTAGTGAAGTGAGAGGGCTTTTAGATTATGGCAGCTAGAAGAGGTTAAGCCATGTAACTTGGATAAATGATTATGGGATTGAACTGTACAATTAACATTTTGAACGGTAAACCTAACTGGGCCAACATGGCTTAAGCTGGAAATGCGATTTAGACCTAAACAAATGTTGACTTTTATTATATGGAATGGAAAATTTCTTTGTTCAAAGTATTCAGGTATATATTCTTCAGGTTATCACAATAGTTGGCCTCAGATTACTTTGATTACTTTAGTTTACTTTGAGTTAACCACCATAAGAATAAACTACTTATCTTTGAGTAAACCATCAATGGAGAGAAATTTGAAAACAAAATTGTATTAATTACAACTAGAAGCCAAATAAAAACAACGTTCGACATTAAATGAGTAATTGTTGTTATTTTAAAATCCAAAACATGTTTCTTAGAAACAGACAACAGAAATATTGTTAGTAAATTAATATATACTTTATATTATATGAACTCGCCATATTATTTAGAAGAGAATAGCCCTGAGTGTTTCATACAAACTAGGCACAATTCGTATGTAACATGCCCTATACAGTTAGTTGTTAACAAAGACAGTATATTTTTGTTAAGACTTGGACAGCACTATCAATGGAAGAAATATTTCAACCATTTTGTTGAAATGGTTAAACCAAACTAAAACTTAATGCAGTGCCATTAATACAATTATTGAATACATTTTGATTATCGTTTACTTTGACGATTGTGATAAGATAATTGTCGTATCGTAAATATTCTTCGCGTGTTATGCTGAAATTTTGTTAACTTATTTTCTAGCCCACAATATATTATTTTAATACAATATTGAATAGGTATATTTATCTTTCATCCCCGTCCTCAACGGCTCTCATCTCATCAAGGGTGATTACCAATCTTTGCTAATTTATAATTGACCTACAAATATTTGAAAAGATAATTCTGAAGGCGTGGAATTGTGCGTACCAATGCGGTGTGCATAGCGTGCAAATATGTATTACTGTGTACGTTGACATTACTCCATGTACATTTCTCGGGGGGAAATTTTCCTTAGAAAGCGACGTCAAGTACGAAGTACGAGTGAGGGTACATTAGCAGAGGGGGCGTGGTCAACTGAAATAACCCGAGCAGAGCAACAGAGAAGGGAAAGGCCCCCCGCCGCCACTCCGCACCGCGCACACAGATACATAATATTATCTATTTACCCCAGCACTTACTGTTGTATTTTGTACCCCCTCCCCTTCTGGAGGACTTCTGCTGCGTTCACTTGTTAACACTTTCAATGTTGTAAGCCCGATTTACACTTTCACAGTCGTCTATTGGAGAAGAATACTTGACGCTCTTACTTGGAGTTAGTTTGTGTCACTTCATAATTCTTTGATAATTGTGATAATGTATGGTTTAGCGTTTATACTGTTTAGAGTGCAATACTCAATGTTAATTTGTTTCTTCCATAAGGTCGACTATTATAACACTCTTACTTGTTGATAATGAATGGA